CTATGGTCTTTGTGACACTTGCACAGACACACACCTTTGGTCTGTCCGCCTGTTGTAACTGCATGGCTGAAGCCACAACAATGTACGAGCCAAGCACTTCCATATGTGGCCCCACACCTTATATGCACACACACACACACAGACACATAGAAAAATATAAGTACCTAACCATGAAAACACACTCTCATGCAACCCCCCTCCCTACAGGACCTTGAGTACTACCCACAAACCCCTCAGTCATGTCTCATATAGAATGGTGTTACACTCAGCGTTTTATTTAAAAGCTTCAGTGGATTGTAGAAAATAGCAAAGACAGACGTGAGGTAAATGGACTGTGAGAACTTAAAGGACCTCGACTTCAGGACTTGTGTTTGTTGTTAGCCTCAGCACACTGCCTAGCGGTAAATTCTTACCGTCTTGTGCCTCACATGCAGGAGAAATCAGCCCAAACATAACAAGGACATTAAAGTGTTGTGGTAAACTAGCCTCACTCTGCCAGGGCACACTTTTGTGATGACTTCCAATAATAATAATAAGTTAAATGCAGCACTATGAAAATGTCTGAAATTAAGAAATCTGATAATGCCATCGGACATCTTTTATGCAATCATCCTACTGAGAACAAGATAGCGAGCGGACCAGCATATAATGTTACCTAGTCTGCAATCTAACCCACAACCCTGTGAGTGTACTCTTATCATTCCCTTGACCTTTAAATATGGTAAGCTGGGAAGTTTACACTGGTATGTGTTTAAAAACCCCATAAAACTTAAATTTTTGGAAGGCATATGATTAGTGTTATGCTTTTTTAAAAATGTAGTTTGTATTTATAAAAACAAACGGTCACAATGGTCTATAGTTTTATAATATGGGCTTACGTTGAATTCAAGAAGCGTGCTAGCTCGCTAGTGTGTATGTATTTATGTGTGTACAGTATACTGTATATGTGATCATTTTATAAGGTGCTTGTGTATATGACTCACGTTTACATCCATGAACACTTTTCATGAGTGTGTATGGGTGTGTGCGTATTTAAAAGGATGTGTGTCGTTGCAGATCAGCGCCGGGTTTTCTCTTGCAATTAGAGGCCATTACCAGTAAACCACATGTCCAAAGTAAGCCTTTTATTGCAGTAAAGATACTTAAGTGAATTACTGGCTAACTATAGCCGTAGAAACCCTCAAAACTAATAGACCAGAAAATATGAGAGAATGAGGGAGTTATGGGCGGACTTGTGCACAGGGATACCAAGGACATCAACACGCACACTCAGACTTGACCCTGTGAACCTTTAACCCTGACAAAGGGGTTTTCCAAAGTTGCAAGTGCGACGTCCAATCACATGCACACAGTACAGTACAGTACAGTACGGTACAGTACAGTACAGTACAGTTGTTCTTCTGAAGGCCGCTGCCAACAATTATGTCTGCAGGATCATCACTGCTGCTTCTCCTCTGTTCAATCCATTGTATTTTCTCATTTACCTTAACTTTTCTTTCAGTTCTTTGGCAACCCTTCCAACGAGGCCCATTATGGGTCTTTTAAAGCTCTGCTGAGCAAAAGCAATTAACTTCAAACTGGGTTGGACCCACACCACACCCACCTGTGGTGCCAACCTGCCCCATGTACGTGCACAAGCACCAGCACAAAATGGCCACAGTTTCCCTTTGGTTGTTTGTTTTGTTTTTGGTTCTTGCCAACCTCTTTAGCAAGAACACAATTTATGTCCAAATTGGAATAATTCAAGTTAAAGTTATGTGTTATTATTCGTCATAATTGGACATTGGAAACTGGTAGGAAGAGGGAGGAAGAGGAAGACGAAGTTCTGAATTCAGTAAAACTAGGCAAGATTAAATCCTTTAATTTCATAATATTAGAAAAAAAAATTTTTGAGTGCCCACCCCACAAGAAATATTCTAGCCCTCAAATATAGATGGTGATCCATGAACCACTGACAACTAGTGTGGGACCAATGTGGGAGGTTGGTGTGCCAGAAGTGATCTGCAGGCCAGGAGTTTGACACCCTTTGCTTAGAAAATTATCTGCCACATATTAGACTATATATAAAGACAGACTACAGTAACCTGCTACTATTTAACTCATATGGACCTAAAAGAAATGTACTCAAGCTAACAGTAACTATTAAATTTGATTCCATTTGGTCAATTTCCTTGGAAATTTAGGCCACACCTCTTTCTTCATACCATGCTTCAACGTCACGGCAAAGTCTGAAACCCTAACTTCTAGACACACACTTTGTTTGACCTCATTCAGTTACATTAGTATCACACACTACACTAGACCCTGCTTTGTTTCCATGCTACGTCCTGGGACAAAGTGTCCACCGCTCTGGACAAATATGTTCATTCATTGCCATTAGCGAAGCAGCCAGAATCTGGAGCCAACCCTGACCAGGACTAAAGTGATTACCTCACACAATGAACCCTGGAAACAGAGCGCTTCACATTACTGTTAAAAAGAGGCCAATTAGACACGGATATGAAGAAGCAGCGGCGCATTAACTAAGTTAAACCTGAGTCTCAGACGTACACACACCAGATTCATCATACGGCACACACATCATGCTGCCCTGACCATGAGGCGAGATGTGAGAACTGGGAAGGTCAGTTAAGTTGAGTCATCCAGAAATTAGAAACGTTAAAATATCTATTTTACACTTCAACATCAGGAAGTATTTCCATTAGCAGAAATAATAATCTAATTTACCCAGACACAAATTGCATTCACTATACAACACAATAATCTTGTTGTAGCAAAACTAATACACATGGAACCAAGACAGCTCGTCCTATATACAAACTTTTGTCTGTAACAAAAAATATTTTTTTCTATTACATAAACATTAAAATAACTAACTTTGGGGGGAAAAATGTTTATTTAGTTTTCTAGAAAGTAAACCGATTTTATATGGCTACAAGGATCATATTTAATTTTATTTATTTATTTTTATTGACACGCAAAGGGAAAATATATTCACTATAGTGTGGTCGAAAACAAAAGAATCAGAGTCATTATTACAAAACACAAAAACACCCATGCATGTTCTCACAACTACAGGGGTCTCAGAGGATTTCCACACACCCCTGGGGCACACCACCATCATTAAGACAACAGATTTGCTGTTCAGTTCATTCCTCCAGTGCAGCCAGCTGGTTTGAACCCCTCCCCTTCACCTCTCACCCCCTCACGCCCCAACTGCATCTCCCATTTCCACTCTAACTTCACCCACTCTAAAATATAGGGTTTAACATGACAATAAACACACATGGCAAAAACTGACAGAGAACAGTCGGGTCGAGGACAGACCCTGCGACCAGGGAGGAAGTAGGAAATGGAAGCTGAGGAGGGATTATAAAAGGGAGAGAAACTAGAGGTAAAACTCTTTTTATATAGTTAGGCATTTACACACATACAAATCTCAGCCTCAACTTTCAGAGTAACTCACAACTCAGCAATGACAAACTAAGAAACAATCCAATGAGATTTGTCAAAGAATGACTTCTGGTACTTCTGTGTGTAATTGTGAGAGAGCTGGTTGAGTTCACGTTGTAATCAACAACAGGAACTGGCCTGAACAAACACACAGGCCGGAGGAGAAAGCAGGTGCGGCCACCGCCCTATTTTCTTCTTTTCTCCAGACACACAAGCTTTGTGGTAGTCTGCACAGGGAGGGTCTCCTCAGACCGAAGGTCACCTCCCTGTGGACCACCACAGCTCTGCTCTGGCTCCCAGATGTTCACAGGTTCACACACACTGAGAGTCCAAGATACCTCCATGTTTGACGATAAAACAACTGAGGAAATGCTCTGAGAGCATATGTATATGTTCAGGTGAATAGAGTACTAGATAAACATAAAATAAATGCCACGTTTATATTTGTTTAGTTATGGCTTCACCTCCTCCTCACTCCTCCACATTTTATCTAATGATATTGAATTAAAATGGCTGTATTTATTGATTTGGCGCTCCCTAGTGTTCTGACAGTTTCTCACTAATGGGGTATTTGTGTATACAAGTCAACCTGATTCTGAATCTGTACTGGTGTTGGTCCATGTGTGCATGTCCCCCAGCACATGTATGAGAGTCAGTGCCTGTGCACTTGTTAAATAAATGATCTATTCCTGGGTCTGTCAAGGAAATGGGGGAGGGAGGGCGGGGGGGCTGAGGCGGGTCATCTGGATGCTGATCAGGAGAGACATGTACTTGTGCATGTGTGTGTGTGTGTGTGTACACGTATGTGGTAGCTGCTTGTGCAGGGGGGCGGTGGAATCCACACCAGACCATCTATTATAATGACAGGAAACAGGAAGTACAACCCCTTCAAAGTCACATGGCTGCCAGCTGTCCTGGCAAGTGAAATTGTGTGCTTGTATGTCTGTGTGTGTGTGTGAACCTGGTATAGCTATATCTGTCGGGACATTATTTTGACAAATACTAACATTGTGGGGACTCTTTGTCCTTGTGGGGACACCTTGTTACTTTTGGAATTATGATCAGATTGGAGTGAATTGGGATTAGGATTAGGCATTTATTTGTAATGGTTAAGGTTAGCGTTCAGGGGGATTGAATTGTATTGTGTCCAAAATGTCTTTTTGCCTGACAATATTGAGTTCAAATCACCTATAATATGTGCTGTATATAAATCAATAATAAAGCAAAGGTAAGAAAAACAAACAGAACATGCTACTGCACATATGAATATAAAAACACCCTCACTACTTCAAGAGCAACCGTGATGTAACAGTATACACAAACAGAAACCTGTCAAGTACTCACTCTGTGTTCTTCTCCTTGTTTTGACTCAGTGCAGATTTACAGACTGTGAACCACCTCAGTTGAAGGGGGATCAGATTCCACTGACTCACCTTCACAGTCGGTGTAAGGCGATACTCCCTGTTAGCTTGTTGTACCGTTTGATGTGACATGTCAGAAGAAAACTGTGGAACGTCACTCAAGCACACACACGTACAAATATTCACCTTCAGACAGGTGGGCGGCGAGCGGCGTCTGTGTCTCCTTGCAGTAAGAGACCACCTCTTTGGGGAGGAAGTCCACCTGTGTGATCTTGGAGGCTCCTAGTTTCTGCATCCTGCGCCTGGGTCACATTTTAGAAACATTTTATTGTTAGCTGCTATTGATTCCAATTTGTTCAAATTGACATTGTCAGAAAACAAGAAAGAAGGACCGTTCTTTAAATCAATCCGTTAGTTAGGCAAGTCATTCTGAGTCACTTATTTTTACACTAATGTATCATTAACGTCAATTATGTATTCAATCGACCATGCATCGCCCAATTGGGTGTTTTCATGTTTTTTTGTGTGTGTGTGTGACAGTGAATAAGAGGAAGGAGGAGGAAGATGTACCCGAGCTCTGAATCAGCCTGCAGCTGCAGCACAGAGGGGTCTGTGTCCCACTGCAGCGTCCTGATGTCACCAACGGGGGCAATAGAGGACATGCAGGTTTACAAACAGACATTTTAAGACACAAACATCAACATGCACATCAGCGGCACATTCAACACAGATGGACTGGTTGTTAAAGGTATGTGCGCAATTACCCACAAGCCACTTCACATAAAAACATCATATATACTCCTAATTTATTTATTCAACCAAAAATGTGGAATTCATGTTGATATATTTTTGAAGATGTTTTGTTTGCAACAGGTTTACACTTTATTGGGACTAAACAGATATGGGTTAATTTTCATAATTTCATTCAAATTTTGTTAAAAGCCTCATTGACTCTATGTAAAAGAATTAGTAAGAAAAAGAAAAAAAAAATCTCTTTTTTTTCCAATGTTCTTGAAGATCATCCTGGCATTTTACTGCAGTAATTTACTGCCGGTTTTATGTGTATGTTACTGTAAGAGCACGTAAGAAGAAAATGAATTTTAAAATGATGATTTTTTCAATTTTACTGATAAATGTGAATACAAAACTCTTATGCCTGTTTATCAGCAGAGTATTTATTTGGAGCAACCACAAGTTACTGTGGTGACACCTAGAAGCCATAGGAAGCCACCTAGGATGCTCATGCTAGGCTAATGAGATGTAATAACATCACAGTGAATGTTTGGAAATGAATTTTATCAGACAGTAGGTCAAAAGAGAAGTGTGAGAAAACAGAACAAACGCAGTATTACTCATGTATTACTTTGGTGTTACAACAAGACGGTCCCTGCTGTGGAGTTGGAATATTTTCCTGGGATTGACGTGCAAATGCTTACCTTGCGCTCTGAGCTTGGGACTTGTTTTTAGAGAAACCTGACCTAAGAAGGGACACACACACATACACAGCCACAAATGGAGAAGCTGAAAATGGCATGCCATTATCCAGGGTGATTTTGGGGGAACATTTTTTTCTAACTTTTTCAGGATAAAGGTATTGATGATAAAACACCAAAAGGGAATCCCCCAATTCCACCCCTCACGTACACACGGAAACAACACGTCACTAATGAACTCTGACGGCATCACTCACATCGTGACAGTCAGCCACCATTCAAAAGCACATGGGAAGCACTTGATGACCACTCGCACATCAGCAAAACATTGATCTTTTGCAGCAGCCACTGTACACTGTGTGGAACTATTCCAACGAGGGCATCAATTAATACTGCATTTTTAGTGTAGCTGTGTCTTCACTTCTCATCTGCATCTCTCCATATTTTCATGTAAACACAGTCATTTATTACAACTTCCTATGAGATGCAACACACAGCACAGTGGTCACCAAAACACCAGATGCAGCAGAAAAACAACCACTCCACCAGTGACAACACTCACCCTTACCTAAACCTGATGTGCAAATATTGTCCCAAAAAAAGAAAAAATATGTCACAACTGTCAATGTTACTATTTTGCAAGAAAGACCCTCAAATTATCATTAACAGATTTATGAATGAAACCATCCCTTTTTGAGAAATACAATATTAAAATAATTTTAGAATTGTGTTACTTTAAAATTGAAAAAAAATTCAAGTTAATGCACCAGCTTATGGTTAGCTTCACCTACCTTCCTGCAGCTCCTCCATCAGCTGAATCCTGACTCCCCGTCTCACTGGGTGTGCTCAAAGATTTGGAAGGAGACACAGGGGTTGGGACTTGACAAAGATGAATAAAATAAAATAAAATAACAGACAACAGACATTTTATTAAACAAAGTTATATTAATAAAGCGATACATGTTTTAATGTAATAAATATTTGAAATGAAAGAGAATGTATTTTTGGCTTTCAATACATTATGTATTTTGTTTGAAAGCATTTGAAAGACAAATATAAACTTCCTAAAATATTCCCAGATGACGTAGCGACCCATTTCCGCAACTGTTCATTTCAATGGTGTTGTTATAGTACCAGGCCACTAGAGAGCAGTGCTGCAAAAGTCTGGAGTATACAAATTGTCCAAAAACTATATTTTTTTCTCGAACTTGAACCATTTTAAAAGAACTTTTACTTTTATTGTAAATACGTATTTGTAACACATGGACAGGAAATGAATGTTAAGCAAAAACAACGGTTAAATGTTGTTTTTTCGATTTGAATTTAAAATAAGGTCATAGTTTTTAGGTTAAATTAGAATTCTGCCTTATATATTACCAAAATTTAAAAAGCAAAAAAAATCTGTCTATTAAATCAACACATATTTTACTACATTCTTACATATTTAATTACAACAGGTTGTTAAGTGCACCTTGTGAGTATAGTTAAAATATTTACTATTGTTTACTTGTTTTTAGGTTGCATTTATTTAATATTGCTGCGCTTAAGTTTCATTTAGGTTTACTTAATTTTTTTTTATTTTTTTGCATTACATTTCAACCGACTGAAATTAGGAAATGCAAGTGTTTTTACCTAACGGTGGTTCAGGTGAGATACCAATACTCTGCAGAAGTGCTTCCGTCTCTCTGCGCTTTCGGTCCAGGTCTGAATCCTCCGTGGTCACCTCTGCCTTCTTCTGGTTCTCTGACTGTCCGGGACACAGAGACAAATGTCAGTCCGTCCATCATTGTACAACATACACAGTGTAGCTCACTCATCATGAGTCAAACAACAGGTGACAGCATGCACATGAGCATGCACAGAATGATTAAGAATTCCAACACCAACCTTCTGAACACATATGGATGTTTGTATGCACGCATGGTCACACACAACCTCGGCCTTTTTTGTGTCACGGCCTGACGGAAAGCAGTCGAACACACAAATACAAACTAGAAGGTGTTACAGTAAGTGTGTCTGTGGTTCCGAACGTACTCACTTTTTTCCTTACCTCTTTCTTCTTCCTCTCCTCCTCCTTCCTCTTCTTCTCCTCCCTTATTTGGGCGAGGCGCTGCTTCTTGCGCTCAAGCTCAGCTTTCAGGTCACTTTTGTCCGACATGGTGTCCAACGAGGCTTGGAGAGAGAGTATGGGACAGGAGTGAGCTATGTTTGGCACCGTCACAATATGCTCTAGTTTCATTTCCACAGTAATGTACTGTAAGTGCTGCAGGGTTCATTATGGGAGAATCTGTTTTTTCAGTTTGATAAACCAATAATATAATTATTATAGATATTTGAAACTTGCAGGTAAAAAAACAGAGGTTTTGGTTTTGTTTGCATTGCAGAAATTATAACATTTACCCTATAAATAAATGCATAAATGAAACACTGAGTCAGAATTAGCATCTCAAGAATAGCCTTGGCAGCTAACGTTGGACGGTGTCAATTTTTAAAGCAACTAGTTTTAGGGCCTTACATTAAAAACCATAGGGAATGTTGTAACACATAACATTAAATATTTAAAAGGGGGTATTTTTTCCTACATTCGGGCCTATTTTGACAGAAAGGAACACAGTCGTACCTTGTCTTTCCTCAGTGATAATGATGTGTCACCCGGTAAAGATGCTGTCTCACTGCTGCAGCTCGACTCCCAAAAAAAATCACCACATCCTCTGCAGGAAACCGAAAGCTATTAGATTCCTCTGCTGTCACCGTCCTTATTCACTCCACCTCTCTGTTTTCTACAGATGACAGCGGTGAAAACAAATCATTTTAGCGACAACTAACCTGGATAGCTATGGAAACAGATGCATCACACGCCGATTCATTACTGTGAGGAGAGGGATGGTGATGTGAGGAGGAGACCAGGTCCCTCCTTCTTTGATGTGCGCTGTCACCAACGCAGAGAATTTTACCAACGCTGCCATCCTTTGGACATGTGGAGATTTGCGCGGATATGTGGCTATAGTATACAGTAATAGGTGCGGCTAGAATTTACTGTAGTACAATAATAGAGGACCGTTAGTTACTGAAATGCCATTGGTTATCCTGTAACTTCGATTCATCGTTTCATTATTTTCCAGAGGAACAATAACTAAAAAACACATTAATTTGTCTATGAAGATTCTCAGTCAGAGCCACATTAATTTGCAGTTTAGGTCAAATCATCCACCATACTTTAAATGTACATGAGCTGTGTTTTTTATCATAGGTATAATAAACCGATCGTATTGCATCTAACTAATCGTTTTTAATATTTCAGATTGTTACCGACTTTCAATAATGTATAGAGACTTAATAAAATAAAATCATAAAATAGCATTTTAGTATCCTTGTCGGTAGATGGCGGTGTAGTTAAAAGTTTGTCGAGCAGATGCCGTTTAAACCTAACGACAGAGAAAATCTAAATATCCGCCCCAGGCGTAAAGCCTGTTTCCCATTGGTCAATTTTATTGTCAATTCATCTTCACTCCGCCTCCTCTTCGTGTGTGTAGTAAGTTTCCTTTGGAGGACGCCACTGGAGGACACGCAAGAAAGTAGCCGAGATGCAGAAAAGCTGGCGGATTGCATTTAACGTTTTGATAGATGTCCATTTTATGGTCTTCTTTTAAACAAGCAAAAAACGTTTTGTTGAGCTCTAATCTCGGAGCTTGGTTCTTTGTCCGTGGCATTGTGTTCGTGAAGGAGAGGAAACATGAAGTTTGCTCAGCTTTTGCTGAAAAACGGCTCTGCTGGAATACCGAAGCTCGTGGAGAGGTTTTCAAAGTTTTCCCCTTCTCCGCTGTCCATGAAACAATTCATTGACTTTGGTAAGCCTTAAGCTGCAGTATTGATTTGTTTTAACCATTTGATGCACACCATATTCACACCCCTTCTCATGCACAACATGGGTCAAACCCATGAACCACATTCATTTCCCACGTGGTTTCATTCTGAGCGGGTGTGTTGTTATTGTTTTGTTTTTACTGTATCTTTTACTAACTTGTTTTTATTGGTGCAAATCATTATTTCCATTTTCCTTTCGCATTTTTCGAAGAAAACTAGGTTTTGATTATTAGTGTAACTATTTAAATATGGTGAATGAGGCCAAATAAAACAAGACAGACCTGATGACATCAGAGAACCAGAAACTGAGAACTCAAATATTGTATGCCCAACAAATTAACATGCCAGTTTATGCTTCTTGCACACAGGTCTAGTCCACCAGCTGCTGGCTTTGGGACCCCAGCCTGATAGATGGATAGATATGAAAAACTGTATTTGCTTACCAGCATTTTTTCCTAATTTAATTTGCATAATAGATCCTTGTAAACAGAACCCATTCTGCACACAGATCAGTTGTTTTGAAATGGGAACATGCAGCTTTTTTAACAGATGGAAGGGCCAACCACGGATGCTTACTAAGATTTTTTATCTGTCCCTCGTGTGACTGCAGGCTCAGCAAATGCATGTGAGAAGACCTCATTTGTGTTCCTGCGTCAGGAGCTTCCTGTCAGATTGGCCAACATCATGAAGGAAATTGATTTCCTCCCTGACAAGCTCCTCAGCACTCCATCCCTTAAGCTTCTCACCAGCTGGTAGGTTCCACTTAACCAGAGTCATGCTCATCCAACTGATTTAATCTACAGTACAGTATAAACCAACCAACAAGTGATCTGACTGACACCACTGTTATACAGTGAGGTTAGGGAAAAGAAAGATAAAACAAATAAAACCCACTATTTTAGCAGAATATTTGTAAATATACATCCCTACATTTACAGAGAGTGGTTGGGTTATATGTGGGAAACACTGTGCTCTGGTTTTATCTGTACCCAGCTGGTGTCTTATCTTTAACACTTCAAACTTGTCACCTGCCTAGGTTATTGGCTTTTATACATGATTACTGTTCGAGGTTGTTTAAGGTCACTGGTATATAAAGTTCTGTGCTACACTGTCTATTAGTTTAAGTTGCTCCCAGACACATGATTATCTCTACAGGGAGAAGTAGTATCAATATCTGCTCCATGTTTTTCACTAGTTGTACAATAGTTTTTTTTACTGTTTTTGCACCCATGTAGAAGTACAAATAATTAACTGTAGAAATAAATTTGGTTTAAGTTACAGCTCTTTGAATAGAACAGAAATTACCTCTGAATTTCAGCAACATTATTTTTTGTTTTTAAAGGGTCTGAGAAAGCTGAGTATGTGGCTTCTGCCAGTATTTGGTAATTAACCGTTAAAGAAGATAAATGGTTCAGTTATTAAACTTACTTCTTTTAGAATAGCCATTATCTCCTATCTTGTTGTTTAGTAGTTGTAGGAATATATTTTTTTATGTTTTATATGTTAAGTGTTTGAGTCAAAACAGGAGCCCTGTCTCTGCTAATACTCCAAGCAGAACATTTGAACACAGCGTTTCACCATAGACATGAGGATGTTGATTATGTTTGGTGTTCAAATCACATGACAACCTCACAGCAAAGGCCAAAGCCCCACCCCCTGCTTTTTTCCATGACTGTTACAAAGTCATGTACTGTATACACGTCTGTGTACCTCCTGTGCTCTGGTTTTCTTTACTTTTATTTCTTTGTTTCCTGCAAGAAAGTAGTCATGAACTCATGCATCAGATGCATAATGAGCTATTCCAAGTCACACAAGTCTATTCCTGAAGGGGGCTTAACCACAACATTTAAGAGCCAAAGGTCATTTGAAGGAAAAAGTCTGCACATTTTAAAGCACAGTCACACAGCTAGTCACCTCTCACCCAGTTTTTGTAGAGCAGCAAAAAGTGAGACCACAAGAGTCCAGTACTGTGGTCAACTCCATCTGCTGGTCTATAATCTTGGAGAATTGTGAATCATTCATTAATTTTACCATTAAGTTAAGACTGTTAAGTCTTAACTTAATAATGATATACTGGGGCTTCCATAAAAATTAGGTCAGACTCAGTACTATTTGTTTTGTTTTGTTTTTTACCAGGTATTCACAGAGTTTGTTGGACATCGTAGACTTTTTAGAAAAAGATCCAGATGACACTGATGCCTTGAGAAAGTAAGTCATAATAATAAAACTAACTTTTCTAGGTAGTAGGTTGGTTTAACCCTAAGGTTTACTGTTTGTCCATTGTCTTGTAAACCATGTGTTTGTGTCCAATATAATATATCATCTTCTTCCCTTAGTCACTAAGAATTAAAAACAAACCCTACAGTGTAAGCTAACACATTATATTTAATTCCTGTTTGACATCACTCTGCTGTCCACATCCTCAGACATTTAATAGCATTTTCCTCCTCCTCAGATTCACACAGGCTCTGGTCAACATTAGAAACAGGCACAACAATGTGGTTCCCACAATGGCTCAGGGGGTGGTGGAGTACAAAGAGGCGTTTGGCGTGGATCCTGTCACCAACCAGAACGTCCAGTACTTCTTGGACCGTTTCTACATGAGCCGTATCTCCATACGCATGCTCATAAACCAACACAGTCAGTATAGCCCTCGGTGATTGGCTGTGGGTTGATCAGTTTTTTTGCTAATGTTCAACTCATGTCATCCGGGATGGTAGCATTTTTCAGCACGTGCCGACTTTTATTTACGATTACAGTCATGTCAACAAATGTAAACTGTGCGACCATTACCTCTCCTTTAGGGTTCACCAACATGTGAGCTGTGTGATGAGTTCAGCCATTATGTGTTTTTGTTTACCTAACACACTTTGTGCTTTGTGTTATTCTGCAGCATTGATTTTCAACGGCAGTGTGAACCCAGCTCATCCCAAACATATTGGCAGCATTGACCCCAGCTGTGATGTAGTGGAGGTGGTGAAGGGTAATCAGTCATCTTCACAATCTCACTCAAACAGGAGAGCACACAGAGAGCTTCTTATGAGAGAAACACAAGAGCTACACAAGAAGAATTAAAGTAAGACAGATATATATGGTGGCAAGTTAGTCACAACTGTCGTTGGGAACAAAATATAAGGCGTGTAAGTCTCATCTATCTGTAAGTCGCATTTATTTTTGAAAAGAAAATCATAGGAATCCAAGAAGAATAATCATTTACTCAATAGTTTGAAGCACAACAAAGTTGAAGTCTTGTTCTTTGACTTTCTTCCATTATTTTTATTCATTCATTACTGTTATTTAGTTGTTCTTTGTTTTGTTGACTGATCCCTCGGCACAGACTGTTCTGTTTCACTCTGCAGATGCCTATGAGACTTCAAAGATGCTGTGTGAACAGTACTACCTAACCTCCCCTGAAATGGAGATCACAGAACTAAATGGTAAGTTTCTGTTTTCTGTTATATTTAGTTATGTTATGTATATTTTTTATTTATCTTGGTACTTTCTGTATGAGGCAGTAGAGCCACCCGTCCTGTTTGAGTTAAACCTTACAATAAATAATCTCTTATCTTATCTTCTTTTTCTCTTCATTAGTTCTTTTGAGACCAAGCTGTTGTTGAAACAGTGTCTATTTGAATCCCAGTGATTAAAGGGCTTATTCAAAGTCTAAAGATTACAAGTCACACGTTTAGCAGAACATTTGGGTTCACTTCGCCTACCTCCCCATGACTTAGATTATTTCTTTCTTTAATACTAAGAAAGAATGGAGAGGGAAAAGCTACAAGATAAGCTAAACACTAGCTAACTAGTCAAGCTCTGTCCTGAACAGAACAGTTTCAGAGTCTAAAACATTTCCATTTTAACACTTTAAAATATAAATATGTTATAAATATATTCTTCTTATTCTAAAATGTATATATGTATATTGGTTTTTAGCTAAAAACCCAGGTCAACCTCTTCATATTGTCTATGTGCCGTCTCACCTCTACCACATGCTCTTTGAGCTCTTCAAGGTACAGTTTGTCTAAGAATATCATTTTAATTTTCTGTGGTCGTGTGTCCAATTACTCTTCATGGCAATCTATGTCCTGACTTAGAACGCCATGAGAGCTACAGTAGAGACACATGAAACGTGTACAACATTGCCTGTGATCAAATTGCGAGTGGCCCTCGGTGAAGAAGACCTTACCATAAAGGTAGAGGAGGAGAATTGTCTTCATTCAGAGATGACGCTTGGCATGAATAACAATCTGTCTGGGTTACAGTTGTTGACTGTGGTGGCTGAACACTACAACTACACAATACATGTGCCTTATTTTTAGATGTCTGACAGAGGAGGAGGAGTTCCCCTGAGGAAGATAGAACGTCTCTTTAGCTACATGTACTCCACAGCTCCCAGTCCTGTCCATGTGGACAACTCTCGAAACGCACCGTTGGTAGGAGTTCATTTGAAAATTGTCGTTGTTGATTATCATGACAGATCGTGTGTCTATGAATGAAAAGCAGTAGTTAGTGTTGATGAACAGTTTTCTGTTTACAAAGATCTTCACAATTAATGCTGTGGTTCCAAAACTGTTTTGTCATTAGTATTGTAGGTACATGGGAAAAACCCTGGTAAATTGCTACGAGTACTAGAGAAGTACAATAATAATAATAAGTACCCTTATTTTTATTTTTATTCAGGCTGGTTTCGGTTATGGTCTGCCCATCTCCCGACTGTACGCCAAGTACTTCCAGGGAGACCTGCAGCTTTTCTCTATGGAGGGCTACGGTACCTCAGCTGTCATATACCTTAAAGTGAGAACAGAATCAAATACGACCCATTGTGCACAATTAAGGGCCATTAATTCACACAAAGAAGTTCATGTTATTCTGTGTCACCAGGCCTTGTCGTCAGAGTCAGTGGAGAGGCTTCCTGTTTTCAACAAGTCGGCCTTACGGCATTACCAGGCCACCACGGAGGCTGATGACTGGTGCATGCCCAGCAAGGATCCAAAAAAACTGGGCAAGAATGACGGGACTTTGTGATGATGGATGGCAGAGTTCCACACAGTGTGAAGTAGTCATAATTAATGAACAAAGTAAATGAAGAAGATGAAGCTAAAGATGACAACTGGGCATATGTAAGAGGACTAAGGATAGCATGCATCACCCAGGTAATAATTTTACTTCCAGTCAGGAAGAGTAACTACAGAGAGTCACTATAGTAAATTCGTTTATACGTCAAATATGGTTTTTAAATTAATTAGTAGTGCATGTGGTTTTTTTCTCTCAGTTATCAACACTTTTTTTAAAATGTAAAAATGCAGAAACACAGTGTGGAAATATCAACTGTTGTAAGTTTTTTTTTTTATATATATATATATTTTTTTTTTTTAAATCCTAAGAGAAGAAAGTGGACTATGATTTCACATGAAGTGTAATGTGTGTCGGTGGTTTAACAAAGCCATCTCTGGTTAATAAG